AAGTCGCTTCTGGTGTGAGAGAATTGGCTGTCTGCAAGGATGTTGCCCAGAGGATGCCTGGATATTTTTGATGTTTTACCATCATTGTGGGAGGCATCTCTTACGTCCCCGCATGGGGAGTTAGAGCTGACAGAGGAAGCTTATCCGTGCTCTCCTCGGATTTGAACCTATGACCTGTTTTCAGTCCTGCCGACACAAGAGTTTAACAGATTGCGTTAATGGGGCTTCCACTTTGGGGTTGACTAGCCAATGAATTAAGCCATTTTTTTTGTTGATTATGTGATCCAAATACTGCCAAGAAGCCCCTGAAACCATGATGCTGCTAAATTTTGATCAGCCTGCTTGCTTAGAACATTTCTGGTTTAAAGCTTAATTCTAAACAACAGTTCGTAGTATTACTTCTGCTTTAATCAGAGTTGGGAAAATGTAGTTTTGGGACTATATCCTTTGGAGTTCACTAATCAGCTGAAACACTGGTTTTGTCTTTTGACCCAAGAAACAAAGGTTGATCTACACTGCCAAACGGCTGTTAGGGATTGTGGGAATTGAAGTCCAAAACACCTGGAGGGCCGAAGTTTGCCCATGCCTGGACCTTACACTGACCATATGATGCAGTTCAAACTTATGCATGAGCTTGCCTTCAAGACATTATAATATTTTTTACTGTTTTGCTTCCTAGTGTTTTCAGATGGCTGCTTTGTTATTGAGTGAATAGCTCAGAAAATACAGGAAGCAAATGCCAGGGCTCACCCTTTAAATCCCTTTAGGGCAGGGCATCTCCAGTGGCTGTGCTCAAAATTACATGAAGGGGTGGAGATCGCCTGACAAAACCAAGAGGGGAAAAAAACAGGCTCTGCAGTTCCTTTCATTCTAATTTGGTGAGCAAGAAAGCAAATGCTACAGCAGGGAGTGTTGTGACAAATGTGTTTCCCAAAAGAGTACTCTAGGTATCACTTTGCAAGAGGGCATTTATAGCTAGCAGCGGGGAGGGGACAAAGGCAGTCTATGGGTGCTGTGTAAGCGGCAGCATTTTAAAAAATAAACAATTACATTTCTCCTTTCTGCCCTTTCTTTGAAGTAGCCATTCCTTTGGTCTATATCCATAGGAAGAGGTAGACCCTGTTAGCATTCTTCTTTTTGACATATGGCACACAGAATCCCAGTTTTAGATCAGTGGTTCCCAACTTTTTTTGACCAGGGACTACTTTGACCAGGGACCACTCTCCAACATTAGTACCAAAAGGGTTACGAATCAGTGTTTGGTCAACTCTATATTCGTTTTGATTATTTGGGATGCTGTTTCAGAATATTGCATTGGAGATACCATGTAAGCTCTAGTTTCTGATACAGAATATATGACATCCAGGAGTCACCATCTGCTCATCCAGAGAAAACCATATTTAATAATCTAGAGATGACGTGGTAGTAGTGATGTGGTAGTAGTAATCTTTCATGGGTAGTCAGCCTCTCCCCTTCTGACAACCCAATTGCCTCGGCACTTTAAGAGGGTTTCGCGAGTCAGTAGCTCTCATTGACATGTGGTTTCAAGGCAACGGTTTAGTAATAGTGAGTCTGCAAACCATTGTTTTTTCTTGCGGACCACTGGTGGTCCACAGACCACAGGCTGGGAATCACTGTTTTAGACCAAATAAATATTTTCCCATCTATAGATGGAGGTCAAATCCTGTTTGATAAGAACTTTGTTGTATCTGACATCTCAAATAATATGCTGCGTCCAGGTTGGTTCATCAGGTGCTCTGCTATGGCTGGCTTACTTCTCTGGTTGAATTAGTCTGCAGTGCCTTTCATGTTCCTCGATTCATGTTTGGGCACTGTGTTTGGTGGTCAATATGTAGACTTGTCCACATATGCAAGGTATACAGTAGGACATTCCACAGATATATAAACCACACTTGCCTAGCTTCTAACAGACCTCACAACCTCTGAAGATGCCTGCCATAGATTTGGGTGAAACGTCAGGAGAGAATTCTTCTGAAACATGACCATGCAGTCTGGAAAATTCCCAGCAACTCACTTAAGAAATTCCTTTTTTTTTCAGTTATAGCCCCTAAAATGTCCAGCTAGTGGGGGATACTGATTTGGAGGGGGGGGGGGGGTTCTGGGAGTTGTAGTCTAAAAAGTAAATGTTTCATTTACTTAGAGGTATTATAGCCCTCATGATCATCAGAGGGTATGTTAGCCACTGATAGATTTGATCTCCATAAATTTGTCTAATCTTTTAAATCCATACCACCAGTGTTGATCATTTACTTCATGGAGCAGTACATTCTTTTCAATTAACCTATTAAGTGTACTTCTTTTTGTCCTTATGTGAACCTCCTGTAGTCATTTCAATGGATGATCCAGGATTCCAGACAGGGGAGAAAGTGCATGAAGAGAAAGCAATAAGTGTGTCTTTTCACTTTCTAGAAGACCTAAATGTTGTGGTTTTTCCTTAATTTCATTTGTCCTTTTTTGCTAGTATTGTGGCTAGCAGAAAAGGGTTACTAGGGTGAGTAAATGGGGAAAGAAGGAAGGAAGGAAGGGGTAAAACAAAGAAAGGAAAAAAGATGCTGTGAGATACAGGAAAGACAAATAACTGTGTTGGCTAATAACAAAGGAAAATAATTAAAACTGAGAGAGCCCTTGAAGTGAGGAAGTGACTCAGTAGCTAGAAGGAAGAGCAAATGACACACGTAAGTGAAAGTAACTTTGAACTGTAGAGTTTGAAGATCTAGGGTAAAGGTGAATCTGAGCTCTAGATGAGCTCCTTAAAGTTACATCAGTCATCTCTTTTTATATACTACTGTACTTCCACTGATTACTTAAGTCAGTGTTTCTCAACCTTCCTAATGCTGTGACCCCATAATATGGTTCCTCTTGTTGTGGTGACCCCCAACCATAATTTATTTTCATTGCTACTTCATAACTGTTTTATGAATCATAATGTAAATATCTGATATGCAGAATGTATTTTAATTCACTGGACAAAATTTGGCACAAATATCCGATATGCCCAAATTTGAATACTGGTGGGGTTGTGGGGAGGGGATTGATTTTATCATTTGGGAATTGTAGTTGCTGGGATTTATAGTTAACCTACAATCAAAGAGCATTCTGAACTCCACCAGCGATGGAATGGAACCAAAATTGGCACAAAGAACTCCCACAACCTACAAAATGCTGGAAGGGTTTGTTTGGAAGGCATTGACCTTGAGTTTTGGAGTTGTCGTTCACCTATATGCAGAGAGCACTGTTCACTCAAACAATGATGGATCTGGACCAAACTTTTCACAAATACTCAATATGCCCAGATGTGAACACTGGTGGAGTTTGGGGAAAATAGAACATGACATTTGGGAGTTGTAGTTGCTGGGATTTATAGTTCACCTACAATCAAAGATTGTAGGTGAACTATAAATCCACATCACCAACGATAGAATTAGGCCAAATTTCCCACACAGAACTCCCTTGTCTTGAAGGAACTCTCTAGCCTCCATCCAGCTTCACACTCTCACCCTCACCTGTACATGTGCACCACTCTGCCATACACTGAGCATGCCTGCTCTCCCCTCCCTGCTCGGAGTGTCAGAAGCAGCCCTCTCCTTGGCTGAGAGGCTGGCCAATCTCAGCAGAGGAGAACTTTTGGTGGGATTCACCGTCTGTTTCCAAAAGGGAAGAGAAGGACAGGTGGAGACATCTTCACCCTTCTCTGCCAAAGGGGTTCCTAAGACCATCAGAAATATGTGTTTTCTGATGGTCTTTGGTGACCCCTTTGAAACCCCCTTATGATCCCCCAGGGGTCCCGACTCTCAAGTTGACAAACACTGACTTAAGTGTTCAAAAGGCTTTTTCAAAACCTTCCTCCTTTCCTCCCTGTGTAAGTGTATCAGTTTTCAGCCTAACAAACAAAATCTATATAATGTTAAGAAAAAGAAGAACATTCAAGAAGAGGATGACAATGGATGTATAAACCAAAGCAATGTGGTTAACGGAGATGTATCTGAAGGCAGAGCTTTTTTTTTTAAGGAGGACTAGAAAGAGAAAAAAAGTCAAATGGGAGAAGATACTTCAGGCCTGTAATGAAATTAATGTTGCTACATGAACATAAGCTTAACATTTCCAGAATTAATCTGTCCATTGGATGTTTTTGCCTGGTTTTCCTCAAAATTCTTGCCAACTTCTATTTTTGTCTGTGAGAAAATGTGTTTATATGAACAAAGCCCCACAGCAAACAATGGAGTGTAAATATTTTGAAGCAAATCAGTTACCCCCTAAAAGCATAGACATGCTTTTTCTTGGCACCGAAATAAAGCTAGCATTCATCCTAGTTGGACCTCCAAGGGGAAGGCATTCCACAATTTGGGTGCCACAACTGAGAATTCCTCTCCCACATCCTTAGATGAAGCGCTGGTTGTGCCCTATGGAGTCCCATATAGCTCAGGCTCCGGTTATGTCAAGGAACTTATTCTCCTTTACAAACTTCTCCTTGTTTTGAGATCTTCTGGGGAGGCCCTTCTCTCTGTCCCACAACCCTCAAAAGTACATCTGGTTGGAACATACAAGAGGATCTTCTTGGGGGCTTCCTCCAGGCACTGGAGCTTCCTTCCCAGGGAGATTCACCTGGTGCACTCCTTACTCTTTTTCCACAATTGAAGACTTTTCTGTTTTGACAGTCTTGCAAAAGCAATGTGCTGGATGTTTTTATATGCTGTTTTATCATGTAGTCTTTTCCTTGGTCTGTGTATTTAACTGTTCTAATAATTGAATATCTTTTGTAATAATATATAGTCAAGAGAGTAGAATCTCTCTTGAATTGACAAAACCAAGCAATATATTTGCAGCCAATGCACTTCTTTTAAGACTGACGTTATATTGTATCTCCGTGGTATACAAGATTAGTAGTATGTTGTAACACAGAGGAAAAAATAGGACTCTTCCTTAACACTGCAACATTGTTAGATGTCCCTCCCTAAAATCCTTATCTTTGTTCTTTTCAGCCATATAGAGAAGATTACAACATGGCAAGATCCTCGAAAAACCATGACTCAGCCACTGAACCACATGAGCCATCATCCTTCAGCCACATCTACTCCAGTGTCTCAGCGATCCATGGCAATGTCGCAACCCAACCTTGGTGAGTAGCAGGATGTTCAGAATGGAAGAGGGGCATTGCAAAAGCAACTGGATTCCAAATGATGACATTTCCCCAGATTAATTATAGTAGCATGGGTAATGTTTTGAGATGCATGAAATGGAGCATTCACCTTATTACCTAAGGTTCACTGGGCCCATGACATTTTGCACCTCAGAAAGAGCAAGATACACCCCACCTCAAGTTCTATAGTTTATCTTACAAGCAGAATAACTACTATTTATAAGTAGAAGTTGTGCAACAAATAGTTCGATATTGCCAGAAGGTCTGGTAGAGATATAAAGCCAGGCAAGGTCTGGTAGAGATATAAAGCACCCTAGTCCTCTTTGCACAGAAATACGAAGTATTTTATTTACAAACTCTAAAGGCTTCTTAACATCTAATAGCAAGATACTCTGTGTTCATCTACACTGTGAAATGAATGCTGTTGGTCATCCATTTAACTGACATGGGCCAGTTCTATGCAATCCTGTGATTTGTAGTATGATGTAGTAACACCAGCACTCTTTGGTAGATTTACAAAATATTTATAGCTCCTAAATTTACAACTCCTAAATACCATCTAAAACCACAACTCCCAGGATTCCATAGCACTGAACCATGACAATTAAAGTGGTGTCAAACTACATTGATTCCACAGTGTAGATGCATGGCCGGAATCACTGGGTTGCTGTGAGTTTTCCAGGCTGACTTCACAACCTCTGAGAATGCCTGCCATAGATGTGAGCAAAGCGTCAGGAGAGAATGTTTTTGGAACATGGACATGCAGCCCGGAAAACTCACAGCAAACCAACACATTTTTTTCCAATTTGGAGGAGAGAAAGGAAATTGTACACTGAGTGGACAATGAACAAATTCACATTAACTATAGACTTACTGATTCAGGAAGTGAAAGTTTGTGGCTAGGAGAAACAAACATCTCTCCAGAAATTTCCAGGTCCTTCAGTGCACGATACAGTCTCACTGGAGGACTTTGGAGATTCATAGAGAGACCATATTAATCAAATCCACAAATAATCACAACCACAAAAATTGAACCTGCAAATGTAGAGAGCTGACTTTATAACATTCAGTGCTATTGAAAACTTTGCATTGCTGATGCATCTATTTCTGTGCAGACTACTTAGGAATACCTCCAGTGCTCCTTCTGAATAAAGGCATAAGTTTATCATGGCTAACCTTTACCAGCATTGAAGCCCTGTGTCCCATGTATAACCTACAGTAAATGCTTGGCTTGAAATTAAATTAAACAAGAATAAGTCCTCTTCCCTTTCCTTCTGTCAGCTGTCAAGAGAATGAATATGGTGTATAAAATAGTGGGAAAGGGGATTTCTGTGTGAGTCATTGAGCAATGGCAAATGTATCATGAGAATTAGATAGAAAGGAAAACCCTGAATAAACCCTTGATGGCTAGAGGACAATTTAGTGATTCATACTAAATCACAATAATGAGCGTTGTTTCCTGCAATATCCCGAGGATTAGGATGACTAACATATTTAAATCTGAAATTAATTCTTTGTTAGCACTTGCTGAATACCAGTTATGACACAGCAGTGTACACAGAATTTTGTAGTAGCCTCATGTAGTAGCTTTCATAGCCTGCCTCCAGTTGGACAGTTAACAAATAACCACCGTAGAGGTCCACCTAGGCATTTGGGTCCATTTTTGCCCCACCACAAGTCTCAATTAGGTCTGGCGGGCTTCCTTCTCTAAGAACTAGAAGTGACTTGAAAGCATAAAACAGGCGAAGAGGTAAATGTTCTCAAATTGCCAGTTCTCTTTTGGAAGCTTGGGGTATTTGAACATTACTGTATAATCTATGGTCAAAACATTGAGAGATGAATAGGGCACAAAATCTACAGGTGCAGATTACATCTTACAAAACATGTGCTTCTTGTCTTCTAAATGCAAGCAGGGATGTTAGGGATTCAGCTTTTGTAGTCCTGTGTCAATCACTGTCCATTTTGGAGTCAAATAGGAAGGGACATGTTCCTTTTATGTCAGCTGCATCCCAGTGTTGTAAACTCTGTTTACTCAAGTTCATATCAGGCATTTAAGCAAGCAGATTTTTGGAACTGTACTTGAGCTCCAAAGCCAGGGCTCTTATGCCAGCATCCCGCCAGACAACACAAGAGGAATGGAAATTGGATAAGAACTCAAAACCACCCTTCTGGCAAGTGTCAGTTCAGAACCTTTTTGCCAAAACAGGCTACACCTCTGTCTGTTGCCTTAGGATTTTTCAGCACCATTGGAATTAACAAATTCTTTTGAAGATGTGCCACAGACAAGGTGGAGGCTAAATTTTTTTCCAGTTCTGTGTCCTGGCCTGCACTTCCATTTAGAAAAATGTGTGTGTGTGTTCTGATGCTTCTGATGATGAGATGAAAAATTTGGCACTCCCTATGTGGCCTGCTTTTCCTTTCTATGAACATTAGTTTAAATTCACATTTTTCCAAGGCTACATTTGTTCTTTTGGTGTCTGAGATTCATGGCATATACTTATGAGATAAGCACCTGTAATCCTTTTTAATTTTCTGAACTTGGGCTTTTAAAAACTGTATATTGGTGATCTTTATTTTGTGTATATAACTCTAGTCCATAGGTCAAGAATGTTTCCAAAGTCTGATGATGATGATGATGATGATGATGATGATGATGATGATGATAACTTTATTCTTATACCCCACCACCATCTCCCCAAAGGGACTTGGGGTAGCTTACATATGGGAATGTACGTTCCATATGGATCCTGGAGTTGCTTTATCCTCAATCTTTACCTGTTCTTGATTGCTTCTTTTTCTTTTAAATGTTACAAAGAAAAACAGAACCCTAAATTAGAAGGTGGTTAATATTTTAATATCTTAATAGAAACTTTGCAAATTAAATTGGTGATTCTGTTTCTACTTGTGTTATCAAAGTGTGTAAAGCTTTTGTAGTCAGTTTGTATTTATATCAACAGTGCTCATGATAAAGATTTGATTCCCCAAAGTGTTAAGTTTAACAAATCAAGTTGTTATTCCCAGCTAGACTAGAAGGTAGACGTCTCCTTACTTCTGCTTCATTTGTAAATGAGAGCTATTCTAGACAAGTTGTCAGAAATGCACGGTGCTAAATCCAATTGTTAATTTGAAACAGAACTGACTGAATCAATGGAAACTTGGAAAGCCAACATTTACATGAATTTTATTGATTTGTGGTTCTACTCTAACTGGGACTAACAATTGAATTTCATTCAAAAATGGGGGTCATGCCGTGTTCCAGCTGCTGTTGGCTTTCAAGTCCCAACATCCTTTAGCCAGCACAGCAAACAATGAAAAATGCTGAGAGTTGCAGCATTTGGAGAACTAGAAATGATTCCCACTTCTAAGGTATCTCTAGTTGTCCTATTTACAAAGACAGGCCATGGGACATGTTTATGGAATCATTTTATCCTCCTCCTTTTCCCATCTTCTCCTCCAAATCTTAAAAGTGACCAACCAGAGGCAGATGTAAAGAAACAGTTCAATTGAGTGGGCCCGCACTAGCTTCAAATTAAGAAACTGAATGTTTCTAAGCCCCTGCTCTTCCCAAGAAATTGTGCTCAAGGATATGTATTGCTCAGACACAATCACCTTGAATTTCTCTAAGTGCTCATCTATACTAAGGATGCATTAATGCAGTTCAACATCACTTTAACTGCCATAGTATAATGTTGTGGAATTATGAGGATTTAGCCTTTTCTGCACTTATTGACAGGAAAGGCTAAAATCCTTGCAAAACTACACGTCCTATGATTCCATAGCATTGAGTTAAAATGGTGTCAAACTGCACTAAATTCTACAATGTAAATGCACCCTAAAACTCAGAGCAGGTTTACTGTCCCACTCCCAGTTACATGGGAATGTCCAGTCACCACTGAACCTTAAGTCAGGATTTTTTTCCACATAGGAATTGGAGTAGCTCTTTATTATGGAGATTCTTCCCATAGTGCAATTGTTGATAGATATCTTGAGGGCAAAAGAGCTCTCAGGCTGGCAGCTTTCCTTCCCTCCTTGCTCTTCCCTTTATGTAGGGGTGGTGCCAATTCCATTACGCATCATTGCATTACCCAACTACAGGATCCTACAGTCAGTCTGTTACTGTTAAAAGCATAGCTCTAAATGTCAGTGTAAGAATTGGCAGCCTTACTATGTAACAGCTACGAGATGGCCAGGAAAGGCATGTGGCAAAAACAAAGTGGAATTCCTTTGTTTTAGACACAGCTTTGTAATCTCAGGGCAACACCAGGGTCTAGACTTCAGGGCACCATACCTTTTGGAGCCTTGCATAGATGAGGGAATGTAATCGGCACTGCATGCCCATCTCCCCCTGCAGTTGCAATGCTGCAAAGCCAGGAGAATTTGCCCCCATTGGATTTTCCCTCTTTTTTGATTTCCCGAAAGGTCCAGTCCTGGGATTGCTAAGAATAACCTTGATCAGGTGGCCAGAGACAAAGGAGGATAAGGCTCCAATATTTTGGGTTCCACTTGTACCTCTTGTGTTCTTTTCCCAGAGGTCTCGCTGGCACCAAAATGTTCCCATTGATGCAGCTTTGCTTTTCCTTCCAGTTGGCAGTTCAGCATGCGCCACCCTCCCACCCGCTCTCAGCCAGAAAGGAATTCCTATGTGACCTCCAGACTTGGCAAAAGATACTGTTGGCCTGCTAGGCACCTTCTAGGCCTCGGCAGTCTTTGCTGTGATGTGATTGATAGGTGGCAAGTGGAAAAGCTTGTCCGATGCTTAAGCTGAATGCCCGGCTGGAAAAGTCAAGGAGAAGTATGCTGTCAGGCCAGGAGCCCCGCCTGCAAACATTGCTGCAGCAGTTCTCTGACACTCCAGACAGTTTTGTTTCTCAAAACATTTTCTCTTCTGATCTACATCAGCAGTATTAAGCTCATCTTGTTGGCACTATTTTGTTGATAAAATGGTAATGTTTAGGGCTAGTTCACATATGCAAATAGCA